ATACCAAAGATGCCAAACAATGAGTGACACTGATAATTAGTCATTTTAATATTAAGTAGTGAACGATTGTCATAAATTTATGTCACCGTTAATGAGCTCTTAACACCTTTAATCCCGTAGCGGCATAACTGTAAATCATCAAAGAAAATAAAACGGTGACTTCGTGGGAATTTGTAATTTTCTAGCAGTGACTTCGTGGGAAGACACCGTTAAATCAACTGTTTTCTTATAATCCCTATCTTTTACACCTGTCAATCAAATTAATCCTCTCAATCGACAAAATATTGGATTTTTTTGTTAAATTACCAAATTTAATGATTTTAGATATTGTTTTAAATGCCATTCATGTCACATATCATTTAAAAGAGAAAAAGATGTACATTCTGATTAAGAAAGCCGCACTGATGTGGGATAAATCCAGAAGCATATATTTATGCACTAATGTTGTATATTGTTGGAACGATAACCAATCCTACATTAAGAATCTGACAAAAATCAAGCCCCTATATTTATTAAGGAATGTGATACAGCCGTCCACAGTGCCAAATATGTCACTTTTAGATGGGTTTTAAAACCGGAGATTGATGTTTTTCATCCAATATCAGGATATTTATAGATAGCCGAGGTCAATAACAATCTACACTAAAAAAATTAAGGTTATTGAAGGTCAAGGTCACAAGATTCAGACTTTTAAATTTTCAAAAAATTCAAATTGGCATAAACAAAATTTTTAAATTTATAACTCTGTTTCCAGCAGATTTTAGATAAAGTAACAAGGTTTTGACATACCCCATAATCATACAAATCGGATAGTAAATGACAAACTTATTAAAATTTTAACAAAAATGCACCACTCTCAGGTAACGGCGCATGAGACACTTCCGGTTTGAATTTTAACTTCTTAGGTGAATCAAATTAATTATTATAGATAATATGTACGGTTTTGCCTACATCCGTGAATTACACCGGAAGAAAGGTCGCTCAATGTGTTTTTGAGAAACCGGAAATTCTTTCGCTCAATTTCACGCAATTTTTTACCGGTAAAAGTTTTCCAAAACATTTTAGAATTTTTCGATTGCATTCTGTTACAAAGAGCATAGAAAAGAAAACTCGAGGTAAATCGGGCCACAAATAATCTCTAGAGTCTCCAAACCAAATTTGTGTCACTATGTCACTTCCGTTTCGGCAAAATTTTCAATTAGAATATTCCTTTTTGATTACAACCCATTTAAAAATCTTTGGTTAAAACAGAAATACTGTATCATTTCCAGTTTATTCTTGAAAGTTTCCCAAATCAATAAATCGATTTCACAAATGTGAAAAAATATATAATTTGAATCATCTGCACTAAGAATAAAAAATTCAAACCAGGAAGTGACAGATGCACCGAAACCTTAGAGTGACGCCATTTATTATTCGATTTGTATGATTTTCGGTATCTATTAAAATCCTCAAACGTGAAATGTCCATATTTAATATGAAACGGTTCATATAATAATCTAAATGCCTGACTGGCTTGCGAGTAGTCCTATTTGAGCGTCATGGAGGATTAACAGGAATAGTCTGGATTGAAGTGGATTTCACTGAGATAACCTTTCAAGACTACTCTTACATGGAAATACAACGTTGCTGTCTGTCTCTGAAAATGTTATCTTTGTAAATGTGTACCAATAGACATCCTTTCCATTAAAACAACACAGGAAGTACTTCAGTGATGTGCACACAACATGGTGGAAATTGTATAATTCGCGACCGGAAGTTGATTGAGAACTGAATGTGAGATTTTAAGCGGCTGAACTCATTTGAAAGTAAGATTGCAGCCAAATAAGATTAACTTCAAGCTCAATTTATACTATATAGTATTCTCAGAAGAAATGTGTTTTCCATGCATAATTCAACACTCAATAAGAACGATGTCTATTTGCCCACTATTACAAACAATGACAACGGCCACCTGAAAAGACAATAGATATCGTATAACTATAAGACAAGTCAAATACACAGTGATATACTCATAACCCCCTTGAGGTGACATCTCTGGAGTGTTATTATATACTTGATGTATGTACCAGATATGCAAGAGCTTTAAAGCCCAGGGTTGAAAGCTTCAAGGGCTAGAAGTTCCAAAGGTCCAAAAGCCACTGGATACCTTTACTCGAAGCTGTTCTAGTGTCTTTACGTCATGGTTATGATGTCCCAGTCGTTGTGCCACTGTTTAAATGAAAATTCAGCCGTTGTCACAGTCCCCATTGTATTGATATGTGGGGCTAATTTGTTCACAACCATTATAATATTGTGAAATAATTCAGATTTTTTAAATGTAGTAAATTAAATGAGCGCGTGAATAAATGGATGAATGGAAGAATGATAAAATAAATGAAAAATGATATTATGGAGAGATCAAAATGAATGATCATACCACATACCATTAATTCAGTATATTTCACTCACTTCATGTTGTATTTGCCGGACCAAACAGTCACGTTCCCTTGGAAATATGCCAACCTACAGGGCTCGTGAATACTTCATAGGATTTTTATCATATGCCCACATGGAAATGTGGACGTATATTGCCGCCGGCCATGTCCGTCGGTCCGTCAACATTTCTTGTGAACATAATAGAGACTACAGTTTTCAATTAATTTATTGAAATTTGGTGTGATCATTTGTATTGATAAGATCTTGGTCAAGTTTGAATTTGACGATCTTTGGATTAATGGTTTTTGAATTATTGCCCTTGACATAAGAAAAACGCGTCAAAATTTGTTTGTGAACACATCAGAGACTACAGTTTTCAACTGATTTTAATGAAATTTAGAGTGAACATTTATATTGACGAGATCTTGGTCAAGTTCGAATTTGAGGATCTTTCGATGAACGTTTTGTGGGTTTTTGCCCTTGACTTTAGAAAACGCGTCAAAATTTGTTTGTGAACACAATAGAGACTACATTTTTCAACTGAGTGATCATTTTATATTGATGAGATCTTGGTCAAGTTTGAATTTGATGATCGTCTGATGAATGGTTTTTGAGTTATTGCCCATGACTTAGGAAAACGTGTCAACAGTTTTTGTGAACACAATAGAGACTACAGTTTTCAGATGATTCTAATGAAATTTGGTGTGATCATTTATATTGATGAGATCTTGGTCAAGTTTGAATTTGATGATCGTTTGATGAATGGTTTTTGTGTTATTGCCCTTGACTTAGGAAAAACGCATCAAAATTTGTTTATGGAATTTTGTGAAATTTCTCAGCATAGATAACTGGCAGTAAATATATATATCATTGAATTCAAACTAATAAAATTTATTTGAGAAAATTAATACTTTAGTCACTAAAGACTGTTTTATTATTTCTGACAGCTGCCAGTGGGCGTATGCCTGGCAAGCTATCTTTCAAGATTATTTGAGTTATTGACCTTGACTTAAGAAAAACGTGTCAAAATTGTTTGTGAACACAATAGAGACTACAGTTTTCAGATGAAATTTGGTGTGATCATTTATATTGATGAGATCTTGGACAAGTTCGAATTTGATGATATTTCGATGAACGGTCTTCGAGTTATTGCCTTCAATTAGGAAAAACGCATCAAAATTTGTTTGTGAACACAATAGAGACTACAGTTTTCAATTGATTTTAATGAAACATGATGTGATCATGTATATTCATGAGATATTTGTTGTATTTTGGTTATTTATATTGATTTCAAAAAATTTGGTAGAATTTCTCAGCATAAATAACTGGCAGTAAATGTATATATCATTGAATTCACTACCGACTCAACTGTCCCAGTGCAACTGTCCTAGTAGATGACAATCCAACTCACTGCTGACTGAACTATCCTACTGCTATTGTCCTAGCAGATGACAATCCAATTCACTACCGACTGAACTATCCCAGTCTTATCGTCCTAGCATATGACAATCCAACTCACTACCGACTGAACTATCCCAGTCCTACTGTCCTAGAAGTCTCAAATTAAATAGATTCATGTGGTTATAATTGCTTAAAATGGTATAAAATGAAGCCATTCCTATGCGGGAACCTCATTTCTTAAACATCAACTAGTTTAATAAAATTAGACCAAACTTTCGTTGCATTATTAACTTTTATTTTTTAATTTAAAAGTTAAGGGTCTTAAAACGGGCCTATTGAACGTTATTGAACAGCAAATTAAGTTTCTGGCCTCTGGAACTCTGATATTTTGTGACGCGAACAAAAGGTGCATTCAGTGTCAGTGTCAGAAAATGCTAGAGCTCCTCCAGTTTCGACTAGATTGTGGTGGTGATGGTTGGTTAAATTAGGAATTGTCACAACCCTTGGTCTTCATAAAACGTTTTACTGAAATGGAGTGGTAAGTAAAGGATCGCCGTGGTTAATGATACGAGTGTCAATATTCGCAATTGTCGCAATTTTAAATCTTGTAGATCAGCATACATAACAAATCTGGTCAAATTCGGTCGAAACTAAAGATTCTATAGCATTTTCTATGTGTGACATCACAGGAGTCACAGAATATGTAAGTGCGAGAGTTCATTTTCGGATAGACTCATGTTTGGCCTGTATTTACACATGATACCAGTTGTAATGTTTTCCTCAGTTCTTTTATTTAGTTTTAGATGTTTGGAATACTCTATGCTTTTGGCAATTTCGTAGAGATAAATGACTGGTAGGCTACGAATGAAACTGATTTTTTTTTATGTAATTCTTGAGGACCCATGTTTTGAGTTAAGCAAAAACATAAAATTTTCCATTGCAAATACAGATAGGTTAAACAACTTTGAGCGTACTTTAATGCAATGCAGATTAAATCGTTGGTTCTTTACATGGCGTCAATTGCTTGGCTGCAAATAAATTGTGATCGTGGGTTCTAAATACGGATCCTTTGTGAACGTAAGTTGTTATCCTTGTAAAATATAGGCTAGTTTTCTTTATTAAAATATCGAGAAATTATTGTTTTAATTCCTTTAACAAGTTTTTTTAAAAACACAATCAATATGTCAATAATCAGCTTAATTTCCTGCGAATATCAACAGAACAATCGTACTAGTCTAATGGCTACAAGCGCTGTGAGATACATTGGAAATGAAGCCAGGATGTCTCATCTTTCGAGAGGTGTACTGGTGTATCTTCTGTCATATTTTGCTTTTGTAATGTCTGGTACCAATGATGCGTTTGCTAACTTCAGACTTACCACGATTATCAACGATAGATGTGACAAATCATTAAAACTGGAGACGCGATCTGTTAAATTTTGGGAGTGTGCTTTGTGGTGTGGTAGAGTAAAAGACTGTAGAAGATTTCTGCACTCTAAAAATAATTTGATGTGTACGTTATATTCTGATGGTAACAATTGTATTGTAAATGGTGATTCTTCTGGATATCGGTGTATGGTGAAGGTAACAAATATTATATATCATATATTTCATTTTTCTTTCCCAATTTCAATCTGAAAGAAAACTGAAATGATATTTATTAACACTTTGATGAAACAATGAAAACAGGTTATGTCTTTGGCTATGCAATGATGAAATATGTCCAGAACATTCTTCTCTTTTACTATCCATAACTACTGAGGAACTTGAAACGTAGCATAGTACATGGGCCTTTTATCTATTGTCGAATCTGACCAACCACGCGAGTCAAGAAACAAGACGTTCGCTGAACCTATCGGTTTGTACCTTAACCGAGGTCTTAATACCTTTATTGTTAAAACGATTGTATAGGTCAGAGGTTTTGACAAATCTTTAATATTTGACCTATTCTTCAAACGTTACTTATGTAATAGTGAAACCAAAAAAGAAGGATCTACTTTCAGTTGCCATACACACATTGTTGATATTGGTGAAAAGTTTCTTTTCAGTTTTATTAGCCTACATATTTGCATCCCGTTTCAGTATTTTGGATGTTTTGCTGATAAATGTACCTGTCCTCGAGGTTACTATGGTGATAAATGTACACAAATAGCTACAGGTAAGGATGCATTTCTCAGTCGACCCTGCTGTAAATGGTTATGTTTAATTTAGAATAGTAATGATGATTGACCATGTACCACCTAGTGGAAATGACTGGCAAAGTGTCGAATTACCATGGATTTACATTCGATATGGTTTACTGGGAGAACAATCATTCTTGTGACTAGAATCCTACAGAATCTAATTAAAATTAGATTACAACATTTTATTCTTCATTTCCATTGTAATTTATTAACATTTCTACCGTGGTCTCTCCTTCTATTGTCATTTTAACCAATCAAATCATGTCAAGTCATCACTCACCTAAATCGGAGTCAATCCTTATCAGTAAATTCGATATGGCATAGATTATGCTAAGGGTTAAATACCCCAGAACATTTGTATCTCTCAGTTCTGAACCATGCCTATACCTATCTAAAAGGATTGTAAAGGGGTTTTCTAAAACATTTAAGTGTATCGGAGACACTGGTAGCATCAAATTACGCCATTACTTTTTACCCGCCCCCAGCCCCTTATATTTGTCATTAAAGTTTGATTGTCACTGCATCTTCTTTTAAAACAGTTTAAAATTGTTTTTCAGACTGTAAAGATTATGTGGCAAGAGGATTTGGAGAATCGAAAACTGTTCTTACAAATATTCAACCAGAAACATCCCCCGAACCTTTTGAAGCACTTTGTTACCTTTCATCATCAGCATCTCTTAGTATACTTACACGTGCAGGTTCCTGTAATAAGGGAAACTTTAACCGCAGTTTGCATGAGTATGAGGTGGGATTTGGAAATGTACCATGGAATGGATGGTTAGGATTTGATAAGATACTTCCATTGGTGAACAAACCAAATACACGAACGAAATTAGATGTATATATTACTACCACTAGTGAAAAATGCCAAATGTCATACACGCTATTTTCGATTGGAAATTATTCAAGTCAGTATACATTCTACGCTGACGCATTTGGAATAACGAATCGTTTTTGTGGCGATTCGATTATGGGGAGCAATAGTACGCTTAATGTAACAGGTAGGCCTTTTTCAACGTTCGACAGCGATTTGACGGGATTCGATTGTCCAAAGACCTTAGGAGGAGGATGGTGGTTTGCTGATGATAGCCGATGTTCTGACAGTTTTGGTACTGGAGGTGCCATGTCACATATCTATTGGCGAAATACGTTACAAAACCAAAAAATTAACTCACTGACCTTTAAAATTTCTTATTATTAAAGACAAATTACTTCAGCTAAATTCTTTTGCCGCCGACATAAGAGATAAAACCCATGAAAGTTAGGTATTTATTAACATTTATTTCATTCTGAATTACTTGTTATTAATATTTTTTTCCGAGTATTGTCATATTGATTTATGATGTTTAGAGTTAAAGAATCAATTTGCAGACAATTTATTATGACAATTTTTTTTCCAGTCAATCTGGAAAGCATTTATATAAATTCATTACGAGAGTAAATCAAAAAGTCCGAAGTCGAAGAATGATTTAGTTATCCAATATTTCTGAATTGACCATGCACTCTAAAATTGTCTTTTCTAAACCAAGGGCCCAAATTAAACACTAATCTGATCAGAAATTTTTGAGATATCGCAGTCCCTGCAGCAGCTTAATGTGAATTTTAAAAATTAACCTATCCTCCCTACTTTCCAGATTTGGTACCATGGACACACATATTTCCTAATCTAAAATCCACTTGCGTGGTCGCATTTTGTCTGACTATTATTCCTTGATTGCTGCTTTGAAGAGCTTAAAAGGGGAGCAGCTATACAAGAATGGAATAATTGAAGCTTCAACATATTTCTATGTAAGATTATACAATGTTTCTATCATCTACCTACAGTAACATTATACAATGTTTTTAACATCTACCTAGAGTAATATTATACAATGTTTCTAACATCTACCTAGAGTAATATTTTACAATGTTTCTAACATCTATCTACAGTAATATTATACAATGTTTCTATCATCTACCTACAGTAACATTATACAATGTTTATAACATCTACCTAGAGTAATATTATACAATGTTTCTAACATCTATCTACAGTAATATTATACAATGTTTCTAACATCTATCTACAGTAACATTATACAATGTTTCTATCATCTACCTACAGTAACATTATACAATGTTTCTAACATCTACCTACAGTAACATTATACAATGTTTCTATCATCTATCTACAGTAACATAATACAATGTTTCTAACATCTACCTACAGTAATATTATACAATGTTTCTAAGATCTACCTACAATAACATTATACAATGTTTCTACCATCTACCTACAGTAACATTATACAATGTTTCTATCATCTACCTACAATAACATTATACAATGTTTCTATCATCTACCTACAGTAACATTATACAATGTTTCTATCATCTACTTACTGTAACATTATACAATGTTTCTATCATCTATCTACGATAACATTATACAATGTTTCTATCATCTATCTACAGTAACATTATACAATGTTTCTAACATCTACCTACAGTAACATTATACACTGTTTCTATCATCTATCAACAGTAACATTATACAATGTTTCCATCATCTACCTACAGTAATATTATACAATGTTTCTATCATCTATCTACAGTAACATTATACAATGTTTCTATCATCTACCTACAGTAATATTATAAAATGTTTCTATCATCTATCAACAGTAACATTATACAATGTTTCTATCATCTACCTACAGTAATATTATACAATGTTCTATCATCTACCTACAGTAATATTATACTATGTTTCTATCATCTACCTACAGTAATATTATACAATGTTTCTATCATCTACCTACAGTAATATTATACAATGTTTCTATCATCTACCTACAGTAATATTATACAATGTTTCTATCATCTACCTACAGTAATATTATACAATGTTTCTATCATCTACCTACAATAACATTATACAATGTTTCTAACATCTACCTACAGTAACATTATACAATGTTTCTAACATCTATCTACAGTAACATTATACAATGTTTCTAACATCTATCTGCAGTAACATTATACAATGTTTCTATCATCTACCTACAGTAACATTATACAGTGTTTCTATCATCTATCAACAGTAACATGATACAATGTCCCTAACTTATACCTACAGTAATATTATACAATGTTTCTATCATCTATCTACAGTAATATTATACAATGTTTCTATCATCTACCTACAGTAATATTATACAATGTTTCTAACATGTACCTACAGTAACATTATACAATGTTTCTAACATCTATCTACAGTAACATAATACAATGTCTCTAACATATACCTACAGTAATATTATACAATGTTTCTATCATCTACCTACAGTAATATTATACAATGTTTCTATCATCTACCTACAGTAATATTATACAATGTTTCTATCATCTACCTACAGTAATATTATACAATGTTTCTAACATCTACCTACAGTAACATTATACAATGTTTCTATCATCTACCTACAGTAACATAATACAATGTTTCTATCATCTATCTACAGTAACATTATACAATGTTTCTATCATCTATCTACAGTAATATTATACAATGTTTCTAACATCTACCTACAGTAACATTATACAATGTTTCTATCATCTGTCTACAGTAACATAATACAATGTTTCTATCATCTATCTACAGTAACATTATATAATGTTTCTATCATCTAACTACAGTAATATAATACAATGTTTCTAACATCTATCTACAGTAACATAATACAATGTTTCTATCATCTATCTACAGTAACATGATACAATGCTTCTAACATCTACCTACAGTAACATTATACAGTCTTTCTATCATCTACCTACAGTAACATAATACAATGTTTCTATCATCTATCTACAGTAACATGATACAATGCTTCTAACATCTACCTACAGTAACATTATACAATGTTTCTATCATCTACCTACAGTAACATTATACAATGTTTCTTACATCTACCTACAGTAATATTATACAATGTTTCTATCATCTATGTACAGTAATATTATACAATGTTTGCTCTACAGCAATATTATACAATGTTTCTAACATCTATTTACAGTAATATTATACAATGTTTCTATCATCTATCTACAGTAACATTATACAATGTTTCTATCATCTACCTACAGTAACATTATACAATGTTTCTAACATCTACCTACAGTAATATTATACAATGTTTCTATCATCTACCTACAGTAACATTATACAGTGTTTCTATCATCTACCTACAGTAACATTATACAATGTTTCTAACATCTACCTACAGTAATATTATACAATGTTTCTAACATCTATCTACAGTAACATTATACAATGTTTCTAACATCTATCTACAGTAATATTATACAATGTTTCTATCATCTACCTACAGTAACATTATACAGTGTTTCTATCATCTACCTACAGTAACATTATACAATGTTTCTAACATCTACCTACAGTAATATTATACAATGTTTCTATCATCTAACTACAGTAACATTATACAGTGTCACTAACATCTACCTAGAGTAATATTATACAATGTTTCTAATATCTACCTACCGTAACATTATACAATGTTTCTATCATCTATCTACAGTAACATTATACAATTTTTCTATCATCTACCTACAGTAATATTATACAATGTTTCTACCATCTAACTACGGTAACATTATACAATGTTTCTATTTTCTATCTACAGTAACATTATACAATGTTTCTATAATCTAACTACAGTAACATTATACAATGTTTCTAACATCTACCTACAGTAACATTATACAATGTTTCTATCATCTACCTACAGTAACATTATACAATGTTTCTAACATCTACCTACAGTAACATTATACAATGTTTCTAACATCTATTTACAGTAATATTATACAATGTTTCTATTATCTATCTACAGTAACATTATACAATGTTTCTATTATCTATCTACAGTAACATTATACAATGTTTCTATCATCTAACTACGGTAACATTATACAATGTTTCTATTTTCTATCTACAGTAACATTATACAATGTTTCTATAATCTAACTACAGTAACATTATACAATGTTTCTAACATCTATTTACAGTAATATTATACAATGTTTCTATTATCTATCTACAGTAACATTATACAATGTTTCTATTATCTATCTACAGTAACATTATACAATGTTTCTATCATCTAACTACAGTAACATTATACAATGTTTCTATTATCTATCTACAGTAACATTATACAATGTTTCTATCATCTACCTACAATAACATTATACAATATTTCTATCATCTATCTACAGTAACATTATACAATGTTTCTAACATCTATCTACAGTAACATAATACAATGTTTCTAACATCTATCTACAGTAACATTATACAATGTCTTGTACACTAATATTGTACAATGTTTGTAACATCTAACTACAGAAACAGTATAAATCTTGCTGCCATTGTGTACTACCTTTCCATCATCATGTGTAAACATCGAATCCAGTTGCTGGAAGATATTTGTGATATTTATTATCTTTTGTGGTTTCAGCATACAATCCGATATAAGTCCTTTCCACTCATTTTAAAATCTAGGGATAATCTCTCCACAATATTGATTATATATAACTATATTGATTTCTCCTAAAACTTTATTGAAATATGTGGACATCGTTATTGTCTGATTTTTAAACGTCCAAACATCACACTGAATTCTTTTCAACAATTTTTCACCAAATTCGGGACTTCACATAAAAGTGCCGAATTGGTCTGATTGTACCTGGTGCTAAATATACCAACAATTGTTAACGGAATGTTATCAATTGGGTTTGTAAATTCATTTTTGAGAAAGGGTGATGTCAATCTATTTTCGCGATGATTTTAAGCATAGGATTACCAGGTTATTTTGAATATCAAATAGTCATTACGAGATCGCTGGCCAATCACAATAGCTTCAATTAGGTGACAATTGATAGGGTTTTTACACAAGATCTAGAATATATGGATATATATACATTTTATTGCCACTGTGAAAAATTTTATTTCATGAACTTCGGCATTTATTCTAATTCACATGTGACAATTTTACATTCTTCAACTAATGAACGTAGGAAAATACTACATTAAACCTTAATTATTGAAAATAAATGCGTACGACAGGCGCCTACCAGTGATAATCATCTTCGGGGTGTGTAGATAGGGTTAGAATATCTCGGACTACACTAAGGAAA